ATTTTGGAATTGAGTTTGCGAGGGCTGATCGCCACCCATCCGATGACACACCATGCACATCGACTCAGTTGAGAGGGCATGGTCTGTCAATGGGGGGGCGACCATATATATATATATATAAATAAATATACATAGCCCAGTTATAGATGCACTTGAAACTAGCTCTGGCAACTAATCTGAATCCTGCAGCCTCAAACTGCCGGTCCCGGGAACGTGTGGCCTGACCACGTAAAGCAGCTCATCGAGAACCAAGCATCTTCACGCTCGACACGCGCAGCTTCTTTGAGTTATCTGTTTCACTGAAGCCACTTGATCGCCCTCTCGTGGATTCGCCAGCAGGAGGATTCCCGAAATGCTTCGTCGACATCATTAGCAGGCTCTCCTCGCTAAACACATCCGCGACCTCTCCGCTCCCATCGGCCTCAACCAAAAGATTGACCTCCGCACGCAGTTGCATATCGCAGCCATCAAACACAATAACGGGACTTCTTCTGTGTCGCTAGGATCGTGAACTTGAAGGAGAAGGTGAAGGTTAGCCGAGTCCAAAGCTTGTGCTACGGCAAGTGTCAAGCAGTGCAGACGATATAATATCAACGCCACCAAAAAGTGCTTGCACTGCATGTTCGAATGTCTTGGTGGTTTCCAGTGTCGACGGCGCATTCTCATGATTCGTGAGGAAGGGAAACTTGAAGCGGACCGAACACCTGAAGAATGGGACTTCGGATTTGACTTATCCAGGAGCATGGCCCCTGTGAAAGAATCCAGAATCGACAATTTCGTGGACAACCGCGCAAGTTGCGCGGAAGACACAAATGGTCCCCGGCAGTGTTGGAAAAATCCCTCCCCAACCTGGCTCAGGATGGTGACCTCTCTCAAGTGCATGAAATATGTCGTGCCTTGGAGCCTCTCCTCCTTACAATGCTGGAAAAGGCCATTGGCTTCCATGGGACGTCCTGGTGCGGGGAAAACTCCTGCAGCCAGGACACTCGCCATGGCCATCTCCCGCTACTGGATCCACAAGGCCAAGAAAGAAGGGAAGATCAGACCTTCATTTGGGCAAGCTTGCGAGTTTGCTTTTTCATGGGCAAGCAGGCCCCCAGATGGGTCCGGACATATATTTGATGATGGGACGTTATCAGGTCATCCATTTTCGGAGCGTCGAAGATTTTACGGGCGTTGGCAACATCGAGCCAATGTCCAACGAATGGCAGGATGTTCTATTTTACTGTAAGATATACAGCAACTTTAAAATATGAACATATTCGCAATCATGTTTTCGATCTTACAGAGTAGGTGGCACACTGCTACTTGGGCCAAATGCCAAACCCGCATCTACTGTGTCAATCTGTTCGAGGAGAGCACAAAACGCAAACTCGACCAGCCCTCCCTCCAGCAGGCCGGAAGCATTTCCACTGAGGTCTCACACGGCGAATGCGTACAAGATGCTGGAGCCGTCGTCACGTCGGTCGGAACGTGTGCTGAGTGCTTACTAGTTGCATCGGCCATGCACACAGCTGCATGGATGCACCCGCTTGACCTGTCGCACACTAGAGCCTGAAAGTGGCCTTCGGAGATGCAGTTGCGTGCTAGTCAAGTCACCAGCTTACCCTCATAGGCAACCACGTGCTAACACGCACATATTTACGTTTGGATGTTTTGCTTGCTTAGGTAAAACCAGTTTTTTCCCTTGAGCTTTTCCCTTGGACTGTCATGTTAGCGTCCTAACTTGTCCCGGAACAGGAACAATCGTGTGGAAGCACAAACGGACCATCTGCACCTTCGAGAGCAGATTGGGCTGGATGAGCACGGGAGATTTATTGTTGGCACGCATTACTCTTCGAGGACGTTGCCAAGCAGTTCTAAATTTGGATGCAACGAATCAGTATATCGCGAAACGATCGGAGGATGCGCGTCTTTAACTGTGTGTCACCCCTTCTGGTCGGGGGTGGTGCCTTCAGTTACAGGCACTGCCCCACACGCCAGGGGAATGCTCATTGAGTTTGCGCAGCCAGCAACGGATCAGCTGTGCGTGTTTTTCCCTCAGTCCAGTTTGGTTCGGCCACCCCAAGCCGTCTTTCCGACCAGCTGCCAGTGCCCCCAGCTTGGCTTAGTGCCCCTGTGAGGGATCACAGGGAGAAGAGCTTCTGTTCCTGCGAAGTGGGCTGTCTTGCCAAGTGCCCAAATCCAACCCAAGTCTCGCAGCTTGGGGGTGCGGGCCCATGGAAGTTCGGGTGCCGCTTGTCCTTGTTTCGATTGAGGGGGTCGGAGCGTCGAATTGTTGCCGGATCTCCCCGATGACGAAAACGGAGGGGGGAAGAGATGGCGGGAAGGAACGTTTCCGTGCGGCCAGAGTGAGTGCACCCCAGGCCATCCACTCGCTCACTCACTTTAACTGTGTTTGGTGCCAGTGGCATTGATTATTCATGTTTTGGAAGGCGGAAGCATACATAATATATATATATATATATATATTTATTTATTTATTTATGTATTTATTTACTTATTTATTTATTTATCACATATATACACATATATGCGCATATATACACATATATGCGCACATATGCATATAACTATACTTAATATACATATGTACATTTGCACATATGTAACCATATACTTACACATATACAAACATACGTACATATATACATAAATACGGTATACAAACATAAAAACTGGCATGTACATAATAGAAAGATCACTATACAAGTAATACATACATACATACATACATACATACATACATACATACATACATACATACATACACATCTGCATACTTACATATGTACTTATTAACACATGTTTAATGGTTGCAATATTTGTTTTTGTTTATTTCTTTGCATTGGCTATATGTGAACGGTATGTTTTACTATCAGGAGCCTTAAAGAATATACCGGCAATTGTTCTTAAACCCGGTTGAGCCGCTAGACAACCCTGTTTTGGTAACTTGGACTGAACAATTCTATGTTTTTCCTTAGGGCTCATTGTTGTAACTATAGTATAATGCACCCCCTATGAATTCACAAAGACCCCTCGAAAAGGTGGGGGTTCGACGCTAAAAGGTCTCTTGAGCTGCTCTGTTCGAAGGAGCTTTGGGTCGCTGAGCTTCCCGAGACCCAGCTTTGTAAGGTCCCTTTGAAATTCTACAGTAGGGTTTGTAAGAACCTATAAAAAGTAGGTCATGGTGGCTTCAAGTATAGGTGTTGGGGCTTGTATACACATAGAATCCGCAATCTCTGGATTCCGACTTTAAGGCCCGTGTAGCCCTCAACCCTCGATGGCCTTGGACCTTGAACCCCGATATGAATCGGTGAATAACAAGCTTAGCAGGGTATAAGCTTATGAAGATCCAGTGAAGACTCATAGAATGCCGCAAAATCCGAGTCCCATCAAGCGCTGCTTTAGGCGCTTGGTGCCTTTTCCAGACGCCGCCGATGGAGAACTTCCATGCTGCTCTTGCACAAGATGTGGAAGGAGGCATACAGGGGGAGGGTTGCGCAGGCGTCCCATTCAATACAGGCTTTGTGGCCTTTGCGAGTGTCCATCTTGACAGGCTTTAGGGAGGTGCAGAAAAACCCAATACCCCAAAATTGTGAACGATCTCAACTCCAAAGCTTCTTATAATTGAACAGTAAGCAGAGCTCCTCGAAACCCAGAAGAGGCATTAACAACACGGCACAAGCCCTACAGTTCCAACACTCATAGTCCTTAACAGAGATTAGCCAAATACATAAAGTAGGTGCCTAAATAGGTACCACTACTTTCTTGCGGTCCCTTATTCTAATTTTAGTATAATATGTTATTACCTCAAACCCTCAACCCAGTTTGGGTTGTGTTGTCCACAGGCTTCTTCAGACCTCATCTCGCTGAACTCGGTTTTGAAGGCGCTCTCTGCAGAGAGGCTATGGAGGAAAGTGCTTCGGCCAGCTAATGTAGGGCTTCAATACATACCAATACTATTTGGGGTTATTATTATTATGTTTAAAGAAGATGGAACCTCACAGCTTTATTCCACTTGTTAAGGCCCCTGAATGGAGAGGTGTGGCTGTGTACGGTTTAGGCCGCTTAGTGTTTGAGGCGTCGAAGGTTTCATATAAGGGTCCTTTCATTGAGCCCTAAACCCTAAAAACTAAACCCTAAACTTCAGTAAAAGGCTCTTGGGTAGGTCCCTAGTTGGTTTCGGTTTTTGGGCTATGCTTCCTGCAAAAGGTAGTGGAGCGTGAGGGCGACTACATGACGATTCAAAATGGACGGATCGTTTAATGGTCGGTCGAAAGGTTCCGTGAAGAGCTTTATCGGCCTTGTGGATGCAAACCCTTGAAACCCTACACCCTGCATGAAGCCTACGGAATAGCTTGAAACAAGCAGAGCTCAACCTCAAAGAAGCCTTAAATCTAACCCCCTAAACCCTAAACCCCTATAATCCGTAAAGGCCTGGTTGTCGTAGAGTTTTTGGGTCTTCGCGCCTTCAGTGGTTCGAAGGCAGCAGGGTTTAGGCTTCCCGGATGTGTCTCACTGCGGTAGGGTTTAGAGTTTTAGGGTTTTCGGGGTGTAGGGTTTAGCGTTTAGAGGTGTAGGGTTTAGGGTTTAGGGGTTTAGGGTGCCATATGATATACTCAGACCGCGAAGGGGTTGCTTTGTGGCAACCTCAGGGCCATCGGCCATCATGCGCAGTATGTAGGCACAGGGACCCGGAGAAATTCACACTCGAAGCAATATGACAGGCGTTGGTCAGGAAAGTGAACGAGATCACTCACATGTCGAACATGATAATACGAGCGTCAAGCGGATTTTTGGTATTTCGAGCTTGACGTTTCGGGTTTTGGGCTGACTATAATTTTACTAATTCAGAAAACCAACTTGGGCTCTCGGTACTGCTACGAATACAGAGCAGAATCACGATTCCTCTTGCACTCGATGGTGGGGATTCTGCAATGCTACAGGCCCAAATGACCACATTACTGAATCCCCAGCGTGTGTCTTGCAAGTGGGCACATGCTTTTGGGTGAAGCCGGACTCTCTGCGTTCGGCACGCTCAAAAAAGCGAAACGAATCGTGCAGTTACAACGAAAGCGAAGGTTTCGGAATTTTCACCAGCACTATTTCATCGGGCTCTGTATGATACCAAGTATACTATAAGTACTAGACTAGTATTCCCCAACACCCAGCTCAACTTGTAAGCGCCCCTTCATTGCAAAGATACTCAAGGTACTCGAGCTTTTGAGGACTCCGCCCGGCCACTCAGCTGGCAAGGCTTAGATCAGTGTCAGATCTGATGTAAAGGCCTAAGTAATTCGGTTTAGGGTTTACTAGGTTTTCGGGGTGTAGGGTCTACCCAAACCTAAACCATAAGCTCTGAACCCTAAAACCCCAAAGCCCGAATATTCTGAAGCCCTAAACCCGCATACTATGGACTCGAATCTTTCTGGGCTTCCCCCAACAACATGCAGACCATACAGCCGGCGCTTTATAGGAACCCCCTTTACGGGATCTACTTTTGGGATCCTCTCTTAGTTCCTATACATGTTCTCTAGAATGAGGGCGTTTGAAGGGAGTCTGGAGGCTACACGAAGCGGCCTTCGTAGCCCGAGTAGGGATGCGGTGGATACTACAGCCGAATATTGAGATGTAAAATGACATTTCTGGTGCTTTCGCAGACCCCTCCTGCGAACACTTACACCTTGATTCCCCCAGCCCTACATCGCTGCACCGTGTAGGCCCCAAACTTTCAGCCTCCCCGCTACACCCTAAACCTTCCTAGAAATGATTTTCGTACCTTGGCGCGTAGGGCGTAAGAGGGCGGAGGCCGTAGGAATTTGGCCAGAAGGCTACGAGTTCACGGGGTTTAGGCCTCGAGCTGTAGGGTTTCGGATCGAGAGCTTTAAACCCTAAACCTAAACCCTAAACCCTTGAGCCCTAAACCCCAAACCCTTAAGCCCTAAACCCTAAGCCCTAAAACCCTGATTCAGAGCCGGAAAATCCCAGGCTCTCGGCTGGCAGCCGACATCATCAGTGCCTTTGCCGGCGGTTGAGGAAACTGGGGTTCCAACCGAAGTCCGAACCTGGAGCGCTAACTTAAGGGCCTTAATAATTAGAATAAGTTTCCTTTAAAAAGGATACCATAAAGGGTATTGTAAGGGTTAAATTTGGGCAACTAGCATAGAGACTTTGGGGGTAGGTTATACTATACTTATAGTAAGGAGCCCCCAAAATAGTATGGGTAAATAATAAGGTATATGCCATACTTTCCATAGCTTAGGGTCCTTCAGGTAGTGCAGGATTTATATCATCAACAGCAGAATGTACTAGTTGGGTACATGCACCCTTTTGGGAAAGCCCACTTATGTTCTGAACCCCAAGGTGCAAAGCCCTTTGGACACAGACATTGAGGTTAAGCGTAGTGCAGGGCTTACCTCTTTGGGCTTTAGGTTTCTAGGGCTTCCATGAAACTGATATAGGGGCCTTAATAACTTAATAGGGTTTGGGGTATATTTTACTTTACTTATATTAGGAAACCCCATATCCCTATTCTGATTATTAAGGCCCCTACCTTAGTGTTGAAGATTTGGTGACAACAGTCTAGCGCTTTCCTTAGCGTTGAAGGTGTTAACGCTTAGGGCGTAGCTTCGTCTACAGGCTCGCTGCAATCAGAAGGGTAGTAGGCATCAGGGCTGAGGACGTCGAGTGTTAAGGTCAGACCGATTTGGGCACATTTAAGGTTCACGGACCTGGTAAGTCTTTCCGGGGCGCGATCTACAGTACTTGTTGGGCCAGCATCACATCTTAAGAACATGAGGCACCCCCAAAGGCACGAACACGGATCGGGAATCTTCGTGCTTGCGCGTCACATGCAAGGTTTCAACACCTCCATCGCCAGCTGTGGCAACCAGTGGCCTCGAGCATTTCGCTTGATGAAGGTATTCCCGGGGCCAATTTCAGATAAGCCTCAGCTTTCTGCTTCGGCGTGTGGTGCGTGATATCTCAACAAAATTGCTGATTCCTACGACAGGGGCCTCACAAATTGGGATGGAGTTAGGGGGGGTATGCATGTATGTATTTATGTCTGCCTGTATGTATGTATGTATGTATGTATGTATGTATGTATGTATGTAGGTAGGTAGGTAGGTATGTAGGTATGTATATGTAGGTATGTAAAGGTTGGTATGTAAGTATGTTAACATATGTGTATAATTTTACTAGACAGATAGATAGATGTACTATATATTAGGGACTGCAGCTGGACTTCAGTACTAATTATTCCTTCTCTATATTACGCATAAGGACCAGCCGCATACTTCCATCAATGAAGCTCGTCGGCACCTGCGGAGGCAGAACAGGAAGGCGCCGACACAGAGTTGGCGAAGACGATGACAACTACCAGAAGTTAAAGGTTTAGGGATTAGGGTTTAGGGTTGAGGACCCCTGTAAAAAGGATCGAGGTGGCGAGCAGAGTGAATCACTGAACAGCTGCCTCCCATGTCCCATCATGTGCATCGCGGTGGGTGGACCACCGGAGTTGCAAGAGCTGCGATCTATTGAGACAAATCGCCTGTCTCACCTCATAGAACTCGCTGGTACACTGCGGCTGTAATTAAGTATAGCCGGCGCCTGCAAGTAGACCACACCCAGCTGAATTTCCCAAACCTTTGACCATAAGCTCTGGGTTGCCACAAAGACCTTCAATCCGAAGAACAAACCATGTGCCAGCTTTACAGGGTTTAGGGTTTAGGGGGTTTAGGGTTTAGGGCGGTATACAAGGATTTGTAAAAGGGGTGTTCCTAATTTTAGGGGTCCCGCTTTGGGTTGTTCTTGCAAGAAGCATCATCGTCTTTCGGGTTCCCTTTTGGGGTCCTGCATTTGCTCCGGCTTAATCAGGAGGGTTGTAGACGTTCGAGGTACCTGTCGTCAGTGCTACTTATGAGCATTATCGGAGTACCTACATCCTTACAACCCTAAACCCTAAACCCTAGCCCGAAACCCTAAACCCAGGAAGCTCCATAATACGACAAACAGTACTTACTCAGTGATCTTGCAAGTAATATAGGGCCCTAAATAACTACCTACACTATTTTTTTTTTTGGGGGGGGGCTCCTTATTATACTTTTAGTGTAATATATACCCCAAAACCCTCTTCCAATTATTAAGGCGCTACATCATGCTTTGAAGCCCCTGTGAAGTCTTGAAGAGTCCACAGTGACGCATGCCTTCAGGGTCGCGGGATTTAGCAAGCAGCTGAAGATCCGAAAGCGTATTGCTTTCAGAATTTCAGTGGAAAAGCTTGAGAAAGATGGGCTCATGACATTCTATTCCCTAAACCCTAGACCCCCCCTAAACCCCAAGCCCAAACCTGTTCCGTGTGGTCTAGGAATTCAGGTGTAGACCCTAAATGCGATAATCCTAGCTAGAAGTCTGTTGAAGCCTTACCCACTCAGCTCCCCGACCCTCCAAGCAAGTTAGGCACATTGGGTCTGAGATTTAGTCCTTCTGCCTATCCGGTACCCCCAAAAAGTAGCTGTACAGGAGCCGCTTCTAGGCCAATGCATACGCTAAAGACATGACCCTTGTAAAACAGTACCGTCGGTTGCTAATTGAGTGAGTGTTCGGTGAGGTGATACTTACGTAGAGTCATATAGGGCTCACGGAACATTATTTCAGACCTGGGGCATGACTAGGGGTTGAGGTTTAAGGTACCACAGGCTTGGGTGAAGACGGCATCACACAACCCTAAAGCCCTAAGTTAAGCCGGGTGCTGCCCTCCAAAACCCCCAAAAAACCTACACCGTCAAGCCTCCGCCTTTGAACCCTAACCCACTCCGTGTTTCGAAGAGGCCATGCGCGAGAGTGCCGTGATCGCGGACACCATCAGCACCTGCGCCAGCACTGAACCCCAATGTCAATCAATTCAGGAAGACTCAGAGTACTCTACCCGAGACCCTAAGCCCTAAACCCACATTCTAGAGCTTGAGGAGCGTTGAAGCCCGATTTCTCGCGACTGAAGTATGGGTTTTATGGATTGTCTTTTGCTTGTTCACACTGCCCCTTGCTAGCTTGCGAAAGGAGAGAGTCCCTAAGATTCATGAACTAACAGTTTATGTTTAAAACTTGGGTTGAGAACCCTAAACCCTAAACAGGGCCACGCCTAACAATGTATATTCCGGGGGCCCGTATGGCATTTGCGAAAATACGTTTCCCAGGGCGGGCAGGGATTAATGTATATCGAGGGGGTTCTTATACATTACTGTTGGGTGGCTTTTAGCTACTGGTCAGATGCGCATTGAAAACTTCGTCGCCGGTTCGTCTTAGGTGGCTCTTGAGTTCGTAAGAAACACGGCCGCAGCAGTGCAGCAGCGATGAGCAGAAAGACAACAGCCCAGCACGCTAGCAGCATACAGTCAAAATACTTTTGGAAGTGGTGTGGCAAAGTACAGTCAAGGTACTTAAGTTAGCGATCAGCGGAGTTTCCATGGCAGCTCCATGGCACACGCACGTTTAGTTGTATAAACTTAGGGGGTTTGGTATCAACCCCCCTTTCAGATATACATTTTCTCTCGGCGGTGATGCCTGCGCTGGAACAAAACGCCCGGTACTAGCCCGGTATTACTCCCGTATTCATACCCGGAGCAGGCCCCGGAATCCGGTATCCCCAGCGACTGGAATGTATATTGGGGGTGGAGTTGCCCCCCCCCCCCCCCCCCNNCCCCCCCCCCCCCCCAAATATACATTCCAGCCTGGCTGGCATTCCCAGCCCAGCCCAAGCTCCCGTATTCTAGCAGTCTAAAGTCAAGAAAGCCTGAAATGTATAAACGCAGGGGGTTTCCAACCAAGACCCCCAAAATATACATTAATTGTGCCCGGGCCTGTGGCTAGGACCAGGCCAGTATTTGGGCTGCATTCTAGCAGATTCTAGCAGACTGTGTAGGGAAGCCTCGTTGTCGAGGCAGTCCTAGGAGACGAGTATTGTGCGGTGAGGTTGCAGTGAGAATGTGGAGTGAGAGTGGGCTCAGCGTGGTAAGGTAGTGTAGCGGTAGTGTTGAGGTTGTTGTTGCCGCCCATGCTCATGTCAGTCTCATGTCCATGCTTCGGCCATATTAATTCTATGTAGTCCCTATCTTGGAAAACCGCCTCGGCGAAGGTCCCCCCAAAACCCTCGATATATACATTCCCGCGGCCCCGAAAATGTATTACTCGGACCCTCTGGGCCTCTGGGTGGGATAGGGTTAGGGATTGGGAGCTCTGCTTAGGGTTTACGGTTCAGGGTTTAGGGTTTAAGGGTTTAGGGTTTAGGGTTTAGGGTTTACAGTTCAGGGCATGGGGCTTGGGGACTTGGGGCTTAGGGTTCAGAGTTTAGGGGTTTAGGGTTTGCGGTTCAGGGCTTCGGGTTACGGGGCTGGGTTTTACGGAGTTTACGGCGCAGGATTTAGGCTTTAGGGGTTTGGGTGGCTCCTCGTCAAGCTCTCGTCTGTTGGAGCTTCAGGCTCTGATGCAACTCCAGCCGGTCATGTGCCTGCAGGAATTGCACTTAAACGTTCATCCCGAAGCCCGATCCCTGTAGTGCCGTAACTCGAAACAATGCTACAGCAGACTCGCCCTGGGTTGACGTAGAGGGCCAGGGAGTCATCATGAGTCATCACCCATCTTCCCACTTCCTGGAGTTCACCGTGCTGAAGATGCCTAAATAAGTACAGCAGGAGAAACTTCGGGCCTGCGCACGCAAGCATGCGTACGGTAGAAGCCAGAAATTTGGAACATCATTGTCCGCGTGGGGTTTAGGGTTTAGGGTTTATGGTTGAAGGTTTAGCGTTTAGAGTTTAAGGTTTGGGGTTTAGGGTTTAGGGTGTTGTCGGTTTAGGGTTTCAGGTTTAGGGTTTAGGGCTTAAGGTAAAGTAGTAGAGAGGGATGTAGAGGAAATCCGGGTACTTACCATGCTGACTCCATGTTCCAACTTTCTGAGATTCGCTGGACTTTGAGTCCCGTGTTTACATGGGACCCTTTTTCTGTCAACGGTGGGACCTTTGCCCCTCCAAACCCTCGACCCTACAGCCCTAAACCCTACATCCAGAAGCCTTCCGTCCTTGGGTTCCATCGCCGAGGCATCAATTCCTCCATGAGCGCGTCTTTCGGACGAAGTTTGCCGGGAAGATCTGTCGGAAGTTCTGGCTGAAGGGTTCTGGCAACTTTGGTTTTTATCCGGTGCGATAGGGTCTTACTGCATAAGGCTGTTGCAGGGGTTTAGGGTGTTGTCGGGTTTGATAGGGTTCCAGACAGGGTTATACCGAAAGGCATTTTACAATGCAAGCTTCAGGAATTGGTATGTCACATTCCAGCCCCAAACATATAATATTTCCATGTACCCCGAACACGAAGGCATGGCGTCTCCAATAGCACCTCAGTATTAAACCCGAAGCAACATCACCAAATCCTAGACTCTACGCAAAAACCTCAGGGGGCCGATCCGTAGACAAACACCGCAGTACGTAGCAGCATGAATCCTGTGAAGCTCCGATGCGTCTATGGGTTGGTGGTGTTGAGGGTTGAGGTTTGGGTTTCTTGACGAGTACTGCTAATGTAGGGGCCTAAATAAGTGCCTTTACTATTTCGGGTTTCCTTGTCATAATTGCAGGAAAAGGGGCCCAAAGCCTATTCTAACTATTCAGAGTCCCATATTAGCAACAGCACTTTGTAAAATACTGACTCAGCATTATGTACACCGGTCTGAGTGCTCGGGCGTTTAGGGTATGTTCCCATGATAGTAGTTACAGCAGGAGTTGCTACACCAGCCGAGAAACAACGACTACAGGACACCTCGAATGAAAATGGAACCACCGGGGAGCCAAATGGAATCCTAAACTGGATCCTAACATAGGGGCCTAAATAATTACCCACATTCCTTATTATGATTATAGTATCATGGGCCCCAAAACCCTCTTCTAATTATTAAGGCCCCGACATCACGCTTCTCTCTTCGCCCGCCTCTGCCGAAGCGCCCCGAAGCCTCGCCTTTCGGCCCTAAACCCTAGACCCTAAACCCAAAAACAGGGTTTAGGGTTTTGGGTTTAGGGTTTAGGGTTTAGGGTTTAGGGTTTAGGGTTTAGCCCAAAAACCCTAAACCCTACACCGTTTTTTCGGGGCGCAGGCTTCTGGCCCCTGGGTGCTAGCGAGGCGTCGATGGAGAGCCAGGGGTGACTCAGGGGTCTTTCGCCGTCTCTCTCTTTCTCTCTATCGATCGATGGGCCTATCTATCAGTCTGTCTATCTATCTAATCTAACCCGACCTAACCTAAGTCTAACCTAATTTAGTCTAATCTATCTATCTGTCTATCTATCTATGTATCTATCTATGTATCTATCTATCTACCCATCCATTTATCCATCCATCTATCTATCCATCTATCTATCTATCCATCCATCTATCCATCTATCCATCCATCCATCCATCTAATCTAGCTAGCTAGCTAGCTTGCTAGCTGTCTGTCTATCTATCTATCTAACTATCTACCTATCTATCTATGTATCTGTCTATTTACCTACCTATCTATCGATCGATCGATGCATCCATCGATCTTTCTCTATCTCTTTCTATATATGTCTATGTGTGTGAATGGAAATATATGAGCACTTTTAAGGGTGAAAGAGGGGTTTAGTTTTCGGGCTTTGAGCCGATTGGGGTTGCTGGAGAGCCGCCTTCGTCTCGTTCTTGCTAGGCCGAGGCCTTCGTGGCCCTCGGGTTGCGATGTACAGCAAAAAGACCCCTGATCTTACATTTTGGGCAGGTCTGTTGAGGGTCAAGGCTAACAGCACGCGACTAAGCTGGGATTGCAACTACACGTGTTAAGCGCCAGTCACCAACCCCGAACCCCACCTTAAATTTAACACCGGTGTGTATGTATAATATAAGTTGGAAGAAAGGAGGGTGGGTAGGTAGGTGTAGACGTGGTGGTGATGGTGGTGGTTGTAGCAGTAGGAGGAATAGGCTGCAGAAGCACTAGAAGCAACACGGGAAGTGCTATAAGCGCACATACTAAAGTGAGCAGTTCCACATGAATAACAAAAGGGAAGTCGTGCATAACTGATTACAAGCCGATAGCGAGAACAGCAACAAGGGCCACCACGATCAAGATCGACCTCGTCGTCATACTTGCAGCAAATGGAGTTAGAGTAGCAGCAGCAACAAATGACACCCTAAACCCTAAACCCTAAACCCTCAAAAGTAGTAGTTGAGCCCGCATCCACGTTGGAGTGTAAGCTGAGGTTTGTTTTGTAATGTTACTTCGTTTGGTTTGAATAGTGGCATGCATGGGCAGCTTACAGTGTCACGGCGACTTATGCACCTATGGATCCTCGCCTGG